AAATCCTCCTGGATTTAGGGTGGCTCAATAACTAGTATCTTTTTTTTTTTTTTGAGGTAGAGTTTTGCTATTTGTTGCCCAGGCTGGAGGGTACTGGCATGATCTCAGCTCACTGCAACCTCCACCTCCGGGGTTTAATCGAGTCTCCTGTCTCAGACTCCTGAGTAGCTGGGATTCCAGGCACCCGTCACCACACCTGGCTAATTCTGGTATTTTTAAATAGAAATGGGTTTTTAGACTTAGACTCCCTAGACTCCCACACAATAATAGTGGGAGACTTCAACATCAATATTAGATAGATCAATGAGACAGAATATCCAAGGCTTGAACTCAGATCCAGAACAAGTAAACTTAATAAACATTTATAGAACTCTCCACTTTAAATACACAAAATATACATCCTTAGCAGTATCACATCACACCTACTCAGGTTTAAATGAAATATTGATCGGCCATTATTAAGCACAATTATTGGCATAAAAGAGGTTTTCAATACTCATTTTTAGAATAAAACAACATTCCTGTTCTCTCTCCCTCTTTTTCTTCCTCTCCTTTATTTTTTTTCTTTCTTTCTTCCTCTCCTTCTTTCTTAAAGAAAAAAGAAAAAAAGAAATGGGTTTTTATCATGTTGGCCAGGCTGATCTTGAACTCCTGACCTCAGGTGATTCTTCCACCTTGGCCTCCTAAGAGCTGGGATTACCGTGCGTGAACCACCATGCCCAGCCAACAACTAATAACACTTTTAAGGAGAAAAAGGAAGAGGGAAATGTAATGGTCAGCCACGCAGAGAGAAGTAAAGCCTGTATAGGTGGGAGCAGAGGTTGGAAGGATGCCGCCCCAAGCCGAGGAATGCCTGGAGTCATCAAAAGCTCCAAGAGGCAAGGCATGATTCCTCCCTGGAGCCTCTGAAGGGAGTGGCCCTCCCAGCACCTCGATTTTAGATTTCTGGGCTATGCAGCTGCAAAAGAATGAAGGTCACCGGCTTTCAGCCACCAGTTTTGCGGTCATCTTTCAGGAAACAAATACAAAGACATAAAACACAGGCTTGTTCTAAATAGGTTTTCCCTGCAAGGTCCCAGAAAAAAGGGAAAGAAAAAAAATCACACCCATGGAAGTGTTGGTGATAGTCATTAACTGCAACAGGCTTTATGCTCTGGGGTAGCCGCTCCATCATCCCCTGCTACATTTGGCGCTTACCGCAATCCTGTGAGCTTACCAACATTCGTGTTCTTTTTTTGTTTTAGAGGCAGAGTCTTGCTCCATTGCCCAGGCTGGAATGCAGTGGTGTGATCTTCCCTCCCTGCAGCGTGGATCTCTGGGCGCGAGCAATCTCCTACTTTCCTCTCCCAAGTCGCTGGGATGACAGGCACAGGGCCAGGCTCAGCTCGTTTTTAAAAAAAAATTATTTAGTGGAGACAGGTCTCACTATGTTGCATGCTGGTGTCAAACCATCTTCCCACCTTAACCCCCAAAGTGCTGGGATTACAGGCATGAGCCACTGCACCTGGCCCCATTACCCTATTAATGACCTTTGTTGGAAGAGTAAACTGAGGCTTAGAGAGGAAAAGTGACCCGCGTAAGATTAGCAAATAACAGAGATCGTCTGCGTGATTCCAAAACCCTGGTTCTTTGTGCTACATCTGAACATATGAAAGGCATGCAGGCTTAAAGAGGTTTCCTTTTTCTGTCTTCTTCCTTATTCAACCTCTCCTTCCTAACACTGCTCCTCTTCCCTTTCCACAGGCCCACAATGATCTGAAACACTTTTGGCTTACTTTATTTTACATGCTTTAAGAATTCCTTTTATCACACAGGTATTTCTCCATAACAATTTATAGGCATTTATATATAAGCATACACTGCAAAATGATTAATTGAGCATTGTATGTTTTTATCAAAGGGAACAACACAAAGATTTCTCCAAAGTCCTGTTTGACTAGAGATGATTAATTTTAATTTTCACATGAGTGGCATAATGCTATTAATCATTTAATATGTTTAATCATAATCTCTGTAATTCCAAATTAGGTTTATTAAACTGAAACATCCAGCAGTTGTACACAAATCCAAATCTAGGTTTCCTTCTCAGGATAAGGAGGAGCTCATTTCATTTTTGCATTTAAACAGGAATGTCTAACAGGATGGAAAACAATGGACTAGAAGCTTGGGTTTTCAGCTACAGCATCTGCAACCTCCGAGTCTGATGCAGAGTACTAAAACTCCTCACCCTCTCAGAAGTGACAGTTGCATGATTCAGGCTCATGTCTGTGTCATGGACATGGCACACAACCTCATATTCCCAGTGGAGAAAACCCAGATTCTGCTCTGTCTGGGTTTCAGTGTTACAATATTGTTCTTCAACTATCACATGAAGGTGGCAACATTGACTGTGCACTTCTTCATTCGTCTATTCATGCACTAGTAATTCATTTGGTCAGTGAGTCAGCCAACCGTTAAACAGACATGTATCATTTGTGTCACAGGCTGCTCATACCAGATTCCTGCTGTGATCCTTAGGTGGCTCCTCATTGCTTTTAGGATGAAGCTTAAACTCTTGCTGTGTACACAGGGTCCTTTAGCCCCCTGACTACCTCTGAAAGCTGCCCTCCTGCCTTTCCTGCATACATGCCTCTTCTGGCCAGTGGTGCTGAAGTTTGCGTGTACTCTACTGCATCCAGGACATCCTTTCACATCTCTGCATATCTCTGCCCTCTCTTGGTATAGCCTGAGTCATTTCCTTCTCTTCTCTTCGACATCTCCCACCTAAAATTTTACTTCCCGAATTGGCAAGCTTTGCTGAACCTTCCACAGTGTGGTATGACCCTGATGTAAGGTTACTTCGCCCTTTGTGATTGCCTCTTATCCCAACATTTAGCAGTCTGTATCTGCTGGGGATGATGTCTTATGCCTGTAGCCACACTGCTTTGGGAGGCCGAGGCAGGAAAATCATTTGAGGCCAGGAGTTCAAGACCCGCCTGGGCAACATAGTGAGACCCTGTCTCTACAAATGAAAATTAGCTGGATGTGGTGGTGCGTGCCTGTACTTGTAGATACTTGGAAGGCTCATGTGGGAAGATCCCTTGAGCCCAGGAGTTCAAGGCTGCAGTGAGCCATGATTGGGCCACAGCACTCCAGCCTGAGTGACAGGGCAAGGCTGAACTCTAAGAAAACAACAACAAAATGAGTCTATTTATGAGCATCTTTCTCTATCGCTGTCATGCACTAAAGTAGGAATTGCATGTGACCCGGAGGGCTGATTTATGTGTCCAACACAAAGCAGTTGCTCGGTAAAGATGTGTAAACACTTTAAAAATAAGCAGATGACAGCCTTTTCTGCGTGTTTCTCAAAAAGTTCATTCCTCTTTTTGGTATTAAAAAAATTACCATCAGTCTAAATAATTCACTACTTTCCATTTAATGAATACAAGCCAGGAACTTGGCCAAGTTAGTACACATTATTTATTTAATCACAAAGCCTTGGAAGGTGTGAACTCATTATTTTTTATTTTCCAGTTAAGAAAATGTACGGTGGTACTACTTCCTATTTAATCCAGCAGTACAGACAAAATGACTAAATACTGTTGTCATCATGGCTTGCACTTCAAAGTTGAAGAAATCATCTGGTAGGGCTTTTGATACCGCATCAGCCTAGAAGAATGGTTAGCAGCCAACGGGATGTCTTTATTTCAAAATGCAATTCAGGGTGTGTCAGGAAGGACAATGCAAATGAAACCCTCCAGTAAATACCAGGGATGGTGAGAAACTTGCAAATTATGTCCGTGTTATCTGAGTGTTTGTTTTGTATTTCACTTTGTAAGACGGTATCCTTCTCTAAGTCGTTAGCATTTTGCATTGATAGTTTTGTCCCAATTATGTATTTCTAGATTGCTTATAAATAGGTCAGGGTGAGCCCTCACTCAAATTTGATAGGCTTCCGCTAAGCTTTCTAGCATAGTTTCAAAGTGGGTATCTGATGTGGATGGCCTTTACTGCCACCCACAGGCGACACATGCTAATTGCAGAGAAAGTGTCAAACGCTCAATGTCTGAAATGTTAGAACTCTAGATCTGCTAGTATGACAGTGGCTATGATACCAAGCGTTACTGTGACTTTTCCCCTAGTTCCTGCCTATATACAGGTGTCAATGTGACACAGTGTTATACAGCCTTATTTGGAGGAGAGGGGTGATGAACCAGTGACTTAGGCTAATAATGTTACAGGGTCTAGGCAAAGAGCACAACAGACCTTTCGGCAGAGACGGAAGTGTTCGATATTTGCATCATTCGATATGGAAGCACTCACTACATGTGGTTCCTGAGCAAACCTGAAATACAGCTAATGCAAACAACATTCAATATCTTACTTAACTCACTTAAATCACATGTGGTCAACTGTAGTGGACAGCACAAGTTTGTGCAATTAGAACCTTAAAAGTATAAGTCAGGCAGCTGCTTATTTGAACTCCAGAATGTCAACTAGTCTTTTCAAATTGTTCACGTTTAATTATATTTTATCTGCACAACTGCCCGAACAACTGTGTAGGTAATATGTTAAGATTCTGAAGAGCATCAGTTAAGAAAAACACATTCTCCTACCTTTAATAATTATTACCCTCTTCTTGGTGAGGTTCCCACTCCCCACCTCCCAACCCCAGCACCTCCCAGTCCCTTCCCTTTGCTTTTTCTAGCCTTTAGTGCTTTTCTCTGTCTTCCAACTCTCTATAATCAGTGGATTTATTGTCTGTGCTGCCCCATGAGAATGATGCTCCCTGAGGGAAATGATTTTTGTCTGCTTTGCCCACTGCCCAATCCCAGATTCATGATTAGCACTCAGTGGATGCTGAGAAAACGCTTGTTGAATGAATGAACGAATGAATGCATGACTCGGTAGTTCCTTCCCTTCTCTGATTCCTGGGTTCTGGCTTTAGGGAAGCTAAAGTGCATTGGAAGATAGTATTTTGGTCCACTCAGAGCCTCTTCGATGTCTCCTTGTTCTTTTAGCAGACAGACGACGCAGCACCGACGGATGGCCAGCCCCAGACACAACCTTCCGAAAACACGGAAAACAAGTCTCAGCCCAAGCGGCTGCATGTCTCCAACATCCCCTTCAGGTTCCGGGATCCGGACCTCAGACAAATGTTTGGTGTAAGTACCACCTCTCTTATCAGCACTGCTCGCTCCGGAGGTTCCACAGACCTCCCTGTCTCATGTAAGTTTGCGGTATTTACAATACTAAGGTTAGATGTTTACATAGGGAGAAACATCTTAGAGCCTAGTCTGCCGGTTTTTTGTGGCTAGAATCTCTTTATGGTTTTAGCATGTATTTCTATACCTAATGCTCACCATGTATCTACTTTGCCAAGTGGTTTTCTTCTAATGAGTAACTCGAAGGCCCAAATGGAAAACAAACTCCTAGATGACCCACTGTTGTAAAAAGCCCACTGATGGTCCCAAATTCAGTGGCCCAGGACATTATACTCTAGGTAAAATACACATCAAGTCCTCTTTGTTTTGCTTTCTCTTGCAGTTGTCAGATTATCCACAGGCTGACTCATGATGTACTCCCGCGTTCCCTAGTCTTTCCCAGGCACTGTGCGTTTAGCTTTCAGATTCAGTGGCAGAGAACAATTCTGCATAAAGCTGAGTTTAGCAAACAAACCAAACCACCACCACCACCAAATGAGCTAGCAGTTTCTAAAGTCCGTATTGATTCCTGCAGTCTACATCCTCCTGAAGTCCGTGACACGGATTCAGAGGTACTTACTGTGGTGCTATGTGCCACATACCATGAAGGGTAGCCTTGCCCAGGCAGCATGGTGAGACACAGAGCAGGCCAGAAGTCACCACTAACCCAGGAGAAAGTAATAGCATTGGTTTTTTATAGGTCATCTTGTCCCTAATTGTTTTTTTTCTGAAAGATATCTTCACTGTCCACTTTGGGAAGCCATAAGTTTGCCATTTCTTTAAGCTCCATTCCACCATTGGACAAAGCTATGACAGGGCTTGAATATCATTCTTGTTTGCAAATGTAGCCAATTTGTCCATGACATCCCAGCAATGATAGCAGGTGCCTGTGGATTCAGTGAAAAGAACTACATCCTTAACAGAGGTGGGCTGCTGAGAGACTCTTCCTCTACGTTTATAAATGGATGTAAATACTAAAAAAGGAACCAGAAGATGTCCAACTCCAATGCCTCATTCTGAGCCAGGCTGGTGTCGTTCTCCAGGTTCACTACTCAAAGGCACTGCAAGCTGGGGATTAGCTTGCACCTTTTGCTTCCTATACACCCATGATGCTTATCAGATATGCATCTGACACAGAAGCAGAACAAGCATCCCAATATTAAAGATACCGAGCCTTGAATGCTGACATTTCAGAGGAAAAGGTCAGCTCTTGCACTTTTATCTCTCTCATTTGGTAATAACCTTGAGTTGAGCCCTCCAACTCCTGCAGAACAGAGATACCCTCGGGCACTTTCAGGTCAAAGATGACTTTGAAAAGTGCAGAGCATTCAAAATGAGAGTCGAGGTTAAGTGTGTGTGAGGCAGTAACACCAGGTTTGAATGATGGGCGGTGAGAGGAGCTATATTCTCTTTGCCGTGTCAGGTTAGGAAGACGTCGTGCTATGCAGTCTCTTTTTTTTCTCATCAGGTGTCATTGTGATGTTGGCTTTGAATTCGGTCCCCTTAATGACTGTCCTGACACTCTTTCATGGTGTCACGCATGGCGGCTCACCCCAAGTTCTACCCCTAAAGAGTACTTTTCCCCCTGGTCATCTTGGTTATCTTGAAAGTTGTGGCAGGCTACAATGCTAAATCACAGAGGTATTCAGAACACTCACAGAGTATTTTGAGAAGGGATCCTGATTCTCTCCAGTCTTATAGGGGTAGGGTAGACGACAAGGAGAGAGATCTTGCCAAAAAATTATACTGCCTGTCATCAAACCTTGATCCAAACCTACTACATTCTGAGCACTTTTTAAAAAGACAAGGTCTCACTGTTACCCAGGCTCGAGTGCAGTGGTGTGATCATGGCTCACTGAAAACTTACGCACTTGAGCTCAGGTGATCCTCCCACCTCAGCCTCCCAAGTAGCTGGGACTACAGGCACAAGCCACGATGCTGGGCTAATTTTTAAGTATTTTTTAAAAATGGAGATGGTGTCTCACTATGTTGTTTACACTGGTCACAAATTCCTGGTCTCAAGCAGCCCTCCTGCCTTGACCTACCAATGTGCTGGGATTACAGTATGAGAGGTGAGCCACCGCACCCATCCACCCCCCCCCTCCACTTTTTCTTTTTGGTTTGTGACAGAGTCTTACTTTGTTGCCCAGACTGGAGTGAAGAGGCATGATCTCAGCTCATTGCTTTGCCTCCTGTGTTTAAGCAACTCTCGTGCCTCAGCTTCCTGACAAGCTGGGACTACAGGCGTGCACCACCACATAAAGTCAAGATTTTTAAAGCAATTGACAAGATGACAGATACACTTAATACCTATCAGTTACGACAACGTGCCATGTGTTCTGCAGCACTAAGCTTACCTTTGTTCATCACACACAGCATTTCTGTCCATTTCTAAACACATGCAACATTTTCTTCCTGTAAATTTTGTCTATAAAATTACCAGGAATGTATGCATTCGTGGACTCCCTAGCAATGACTCTCAAACCTCCTTAGTTTACAACCACCATTCTAAAGAAATAGAATTTTAGACACTAAAAATCTGTTCTTTCCTGCCAAATATCGGTGGTCACAGAGCTAAATTCTTGATACATTTAGCAGCAAGAATCACGTTATGAAGCATCTGTAGACATTCTCAAGGGCTCACTGCAGCGGAGTATACGGTATTTAGGAGGGTGTCCTCTTTCAGGTCATAGTTACTGCAAGAAGCTACAGTTTAACTCCAAGTAAGTGCTTCCCTCATCGTCTAGACATGAGACATCTTCTCTCCTTTTGGTGTTCAATCCTGTCTTCATTTTCACACTTTGGCAGAGGTTATAGTGAGGACAGTTAGAGACAGTCACGAAGATCTTTGTGCGTTTCCCCCGCTCTGTCTCTTGTTAAATCCGGGCATAGGATTTTAAAGTCAAAAGCAAAACAAGACACAAAAGCAACCGCCTTTTTCAAACTGTCGAAAACTTGGCATTGTTCATCACAATGTCTGTAACCATTAATCATTCGACCATGGGCCGGGTGTGGTGGCTCACCCCTGTAATCCCAGCACTTTGGGAGGCCGAGGCGGGTGGATCACGAGGTCAAGAGATCGAGACCATCCTGGTCAACATGGTGAAACCCCATCTCTACTAAAAATACAAAAAATTAGCTGGGCATGGTGGCACGTGCCTGTAATCCCAGCTACTCAGGAGGCTGAGGCAGGAGAATTGCCTGAACCCAGGAGGCGGAGGTTGCAGTGAGCCGAGATCGCGCCATTGCACTCCAGCCTGGGTAACAAGAGTGAAACTCCATCTCAAAAAATAAAAATAAAATAATCATTCGACCATGCCATCGGCAGCCGTTGCATGCCTGATGGTTACTGCAGGTGACTCCTATTTTAATTTGTATCTTCAGCACTTCTTCATAAAGATTGGAATCGTGATTACCTTTTCCACCTCATGCTTCATATTCTTTACTTTCTACTCTTTGGAAGCATTTGCCCCCCTGTTTGGCATTAAATTCTCTAGCTCGTCTTATTTGTCTTTTTTTCTTCATTTGAGATGGGACACTCCTTGGGAAAGACGTTTTATGGCTACAATATACAAAGCAGAATCACAGTCTTTTAAAAATGCCAGCTGAAGTTCAAGTGAATGGATCTGTTACATGCAGTGACACTGGCACTAGATGTTTCACTGGAAGGAATAGTTTTACATCCTGCTACCTTTTCCTCACGCTGTGTCTTCACCTTAGGTATCATGCATGAGCATGCATTTTCTTTACAAATAAATATTTGATGATCCTAAGAGAGGAACATATGGCTTTCTATCAAATTAATTGCAGTATTAAGAATGTTTAACTTAACATTTAAACATTCTGTGTTTTAAATCAGAGAAGTGGACTGTGAGATAGCCAGACCTCTGCTACAGCAGATGGGTGGATCTTCTGGATGCCATCCCTGGACTGTCAGAAACAGTTGCTTCATGAGTACAGTTCTCAAATTTACACAACAACTTTGCTGATTTCACAGCCTTACTCTAGGGATCAAAATACAGACCCTTCTTGGATGGCCACCCTTTGGGAGGCCAAGGTGGGAGGATGGCTTTACTTCGAGAGTTTGAGACCAGCCTGGGCAACATAGGGAGACCCTGTTTCTACAACAATAATGTCAAAACACACAAGAGAACTAAATAGGGCCCCAGGAAAGTGGTCCACTGAAGCCTCTCTTTATTGTCACAGAAAAACAGATCACATGGCTTTTAGCACATGCGAAGGAAAATTTCAAAATCATTTTTTTTTTTAGTAATGAGACAAGCTTGCCTGTACTTACAACGTTAATGCAAAGTTACATCTACCACGATGTATGAGGAGTGAAGCCATTATGGGGGACACGGCGTGGTTCCCTCTACTTCTGCATTCTGAACATGAAGGTGACACTAAGAAAAACTGGGATGATGCCTTTCCTTGGCCTCTCTGCACACTCTTTGAACCAACCTTTACTTTCATGTTTTATGCTGTGTCCGTTCACCATCCTCCACAGTTTTTCACAGAAATATTGTTTGATCTGAGAATGCCTAAAAATGCTTGGCACATATTTGCCCAAGTGTGTGCCTGTAAGTTTCTGGATGCTGTTCTGGATAACAGCTATTGAGACACCTTGTGTGGATTTGAGGCGTTGTTGACTGCAGCTGAACGTTGCTGTTGAGCAAACAAACGCTAGTTATGTCTGCGAATGAGTCGTGTCTATTTAAATTGAAAATGTGCCAGCTGTGTTTACATCATTAGTAGCAAACTTCCCAATTAAACTGTTGATACTATAAATATAGTGCAAAACTGTCTTGGAAATGGGGCTTACATCAGCATTCTTCTTCAGGCTCGTTTCACCGGCTTTGCGAACCGTCAACCTAACAGCAAGTGCCACGGAAGCAAACTTTGAGATTGTCTCAGGGCATCTGGTGTCATTGTTTCACTGAGGGAAAGGCACATGTTAAGATTGCTGATTGATTGGTTCTGTCTCCATCAGATCCTGTTTTGAAAGAAATGTTTTTGGGTTGACGGCCTAGAGAAGGTTCCGTAGACGACAGTTGCATCGTGGTTTTGGAAGAAGTCCTCTTCAAGCTTCTCTTTGTGCAAATAGAGATGCTTCTAGGCTCTTATGCTTGAAACCAATATGATGGTGTCTATGCAGACGGAATATTCTAGGGTGATTGTATCAAAATTACTGCTTGAGGAGTTCACAAAACTGGAGCTTTCTTTACTATGAAATTCAGTTCACGTTTTGAACGGCAAATCCGTCATTTCCCCAATCTGAAAGTTTTCTTCTATTTTCAGTCATTTTTTTTTTCTCTGCCTAAAACTAGGGCACTGAAAATGCTCTGTAAAGGAATGTTCTCTTGACCAAGAGATCCAAGTCCACAGATTGCAGGAGGAGTTCGCTGCATGCTTTCTGGTGTTTCCATGGTGCGTGCTAGCAATGTCACCCTTCCACGTTCTCTTTGGAGTATTTTCTCCTTGGTTTCTTCCTATTCATATGCTTCTTTGAGCAGAAGTACTAGTCGTTCTTTATTTCACAACCAGAAAAATGCACTTCTGTGACTCCCCTGGCTGGACAGTGTCTGTATCCTGAGGAATTGGCACATTTCTATGGCACAGAGTGACACACTTTTGGTTACTTTTTCCCATAGTCAGAACTATTTTTATTTCAAGATTGAGCTGTCTGTATTCAAGTGGCATACACATTTTTTTCCCTGCTATTCCGGGGAGTGTAGCTTTCTTTGTACATTCCAGAGGGTAGCATCCGTATGTTCTAAATAATTTGTTCCTTGAATGTGAGCGGGACCCTCTTGACATTCAGTCTCTGCATCTCTGGATACTCTGTGACCGAAACACATTGGTCAGGCAAGCCCCCCGCTTTCCTTGTGGTCTTATTGTTTATTTCTTGTTATTCCTGCCCCTCACCCCAGTCACACTCTGTTCTCTGCTACACAGAAGCATGCTTATTGCTCTCCACTCAGGGGAGAGACGGAATACGGAAACTCCAAGGGTCATATAGGATGCAATTAAAATTCAGAATGCAAAAGTAAATGGAATGATAGGAAAGCTCAAAATGATAGGAAAGCTCCAAACAAAAGAGGATGGAAATATTTATGTTGCCCTGTTTATTCACTCGAAGGGCATTTGCTCTCATTCTGCATGGAGGTAGAATTCCCATTTTATTTTTCCCTGGGCTACGGTACATGATTTTACATCACCTTCTCTCACCCGCTTGTACGCAGGGTAGGCCATTGTACTCAAGAAATGCTTACACTCCTTCACATGATCTCAGAAAACTGAAAACATTCCAAGGTCGAAGGAAAGGATTTCAGATGATCCGAGGCCCCTAGTTTCACAGCCCATGCTCCCCATTTTGAAATGCGAATCAACAACTGCTTGATGTGCATTTCTCACGTGGACTCCCAGATTTCACGAATTTAAAAATATGTAAGACACAATCATTGAATTTGACGTTCAGATAAACAACTATTTTATCAAGTATAAGTATGTCCCAAATATTGTGTGTGACATATCCTGAAAAATCTGAAATTTAAATGTAACTGGCTGTCTGCATTTTATTTGTCTATAATTTATTTATAATCTGAGTCTTGGTTTCTGGACTTTTGATAGCGCCTATTCATGCCAGTTGTCTAAAGTCTGCTCGTTTCACAATATGGAGAATTATCTTGGAGAATTTCAGCCCAAGCACTGATCACAACTGCTGATACTGTGATTATGATGTGTACCTGGATAGTGGAGTTTGCACTTTCTTTCTCAAATGTTTGAGCTGCTCCTTTATTTTTTGTGAGCTAGGGGCCAGTCACCTAAAATTCCTGTGGGACACTGATTAACAAGGGTGTTTCTCCTAGTGTAGTGGGTAGACCAGAAGGCTCATTGTATATACATACTAGCCACTTTTCATGTTTGCTGCGTCAGTGCCTGGGAAAGCAGTCATGCACACAGAAAAAAAGAAAACCAGAAAATATTAATCAAGAGGTTAATTCTATCAGATCCCTGCTGGTGTCTTTCATAAGGAGATACTATGTGTGGTTGTTTTTTTCTCTCGTTTCAAGCACATTACTTAACCATAAACCATAAAATGTGTATCCTTGATATTCAAAGAGGGGGAAAAATTGACATGGGAAACAATTACCCGTGTACATAGTAACCACTGCATTTCTCTTCTTGCTTATAAGGTATTTCTGTTTCTTTGCAGCAATTTGGTAAAATCTTAGATGTTGAAATTATTTTTAATGAGCGAGGCTCAAAGGTAAGCAACTTAATTCACTTTAGAATTGTTTAGTTTGTTTTTAAATGTTTGTTATGAATAAGGGGAAACAACTGCACTGTCTTAATCAGCTCATTGTGAAAATACACTCCAGTGGGAAATTCTTTAGAGACCACCTTCTGTTTTCAAAATGGTGGTAAAGACATCGGGTTCAGTTTAAAATATATAAGGGGATAATTTTAAATTGCTGTTTTTTTGATATACATATATATTTATCAAGTTTCCAGAGGAAAATTATCCATGCTTAAAAAAATAATGATGTTGCTACATTTTTGTTTTTCAGTGATAATTATGTTCTTTATATTAAAAAGTGAGTTGATAGTCTCATGAGCAGGTAAATATGTGATTATTCTGTATTAATAAAGTGCAGTTATTTTCCTGGGTTTTAGGGGAGAAAAATCTCATATACACCAACCTTTTGAATATGATTTTATTCATTAGTATGTTTACCAATCCACATTTCGCAATTTGCCATTGCTGTGAGTTTGGTTTTTCGAGGAATCCAATTTTTAAACAGATTCCCTAGTGCCAATGAAAGTCAGGGGCTCTACGGAAAGGCTGAGGTTCAGGGGAGGTTCTTTTTCAAAACAGAAATATGGGGCAGGTGCAGTGGCTTAAACCTGTAATTCTAGCAGTTTGAGAGGCTAAGGTGGGTGGATCACTTGAGGTCAGGGGTTCTAGACCAGCCTGGCCAACATGGTAAAACCTCATCTCTACTAAAATTACAAAACTTAGCTGGGTACGGTGGCGCGCGCCTGTAATTCCAGCTACTTGGGAGGCTGAGGCAGGAGAATCGCTGGAACCCAGGGGGTGTTGATTGCAGTAAGCCAAGATTGCCCCACTGTACCCCAGCCTGGGTGACACAGCAAGATCCTCCTGTCTCAAAAACAAACAAACAAAAGAAAGAAATATGCTGGGAAAAGAAAGAAACACAAACTACTAAAGCCTCCTCTGTGTCAGTGATTAACCAAGGGTGGTCCCAGACCAGGAACATCAGCACCACCTAGGAACTGATTAGAAATGCAAGTTTTCAGGCTCCAGCCCTGACCTGTTGAATTTAAAACTGTCAAGTTGGGTTCAACAATCTGTGTTATAACCAGACTTCTAGGCCTGTCCTTAAAACAATCAATGCTGTGTCTTTCCTTTTAGACCAACGCCAAACCTCCCCCATGAATGTCACATGCCCTGCTGCTTACTAGTGTTTGGCTTTTGTTGTTGCTGCCGTTCAGGTGTCTTCTTTCTACCTGCATACACACAACACTCAGGAACCCCATGAAAATCCCCGTTGAGGAAAACAACACTGGAGGCTCAGCAGATACAGAGGGGCAGCAGGGAGAGAGGATGGGGAAGAACAGAGAGATGGACCTTGGTAACAGAAAGTGAACGCTTTCAGTACCTCTGTGGGGTCTCCTGGCTGCCCCTCCCAAGGCTGTCAGGAATTTCGAGTTCCGTTCTCCTTGCATCCTCAGACTGTGAATGCAAATGTTGAGAGGTACTGGTTTTGGCCCCTTGACTCTCCTTACACAGGCCATTTGGGGCAAGTCAGTAGCATGGACGGTCACTAAGCGGTCCTGGTTTTATTTGAAGTGTTACAGGCCACAGTGCCAGCTCTTTGGGGTATATATCACCACCTTCCCCCATGAAGCAAACCTTTGATTTTTTTTTTTTTTTTTTTTTTATTCCTTGGAGAGGCTTCCTCCCTCCTAAGTAGATTTAGTACTAATTAGGACAATGTTGATTGCATCAAGGACAGAAAATCCCAGTATTCTCTCCTCCATGGCCAGAGTGATACTGTCATCTGTCAGATGAGTGAAAACAAAAGCAAAAAAGAATCCATTATACTTTGTGATTCGGCTCATTCAGGGACCTTATCATTTTTCCATAGCTTCAGATATTTTTACGATCATTCTCCAACTTCTCTCTTTTCCAGCTTCTTGTATGAAAATTATTATAGGGACTATTTCTATACCTGCAAAGCGTAGTGCGTTTAGAGGGAAAAAGTGCCCAGCCTAATCCTGTTCACTCGGGCCTTCTGTATTGTTGGCAAAATTGTAGATGACCCGAATGTTGACCAACTTTGTTCTAAGTCCATCTCGAACAGCACTGCCTTCAAAGATGTGGGGTTTTTTTTTTTTTCTGGTAAATCTATGTTTAATTTATATTTTGTTTTGTAACTTTTGCCAGTTGAAGAAAGCTATTTAATTCCTTCTGAGAGCTGTTTTGGGACTTTAGAAGAATATCGTTTGCTATTTTGAAAATACAATGGCGATGCTATTTTTAAGACATCTTCCGTCATTCCCATGATTAGCCTGTCTCTGGGGGCTCCAGGAAAAAGACCATTTAAATTTACTGCATCCAGAGCCTGACTGTGTGAAGCTGCCTTTTTTTTTGATCTTGATTCTTTTGGTTTAGGAGACTTCCAAAATAGCCTCTCTCGGTGGGTAGGCTCGCTCTCAAAGAGCTCGCCTTGCAGGTGTTGGAGCGGACTGTTTCGGTTCTGCCGGATTGGCACTGAGACAGTCCAGTTGGGAACCACTAAATGGGAGCAGCAGCTCACACAGGGATATTTTTCATTCTTGACATTATCCTTGATGGGAAAGGGCCTTATTTAGAGGAACGTTTTCATTTTAATGGTTCAGAAGCCTGAACCATTTCTATGACCTCATTTTCATCATTTGGTGCTGGACAGACAGCCAGGACATTAGTGGGTCCTGAAGAGCCAGGAACTCACCTTCTTGCCTTTCATTCTCGATAGCAGTCCTTCAGGCAGGCCACTGCGATGCTGAGTGATGAAGGCGTGTGTATGCAGACGTGTACACCTTATACGTACTCGAGGGCTGGACGTGGTTTCTCACACCTGACATTCCAGCACTTTCGGAAGCTGAGGTAGGAGTATTACCTGAAGCCAGGAGTTCAAGTCCAGCCTGGACAAGATAGTGAGACCCCCATATTCATAAAATAATAATTAAAAATTAGCTGGGTACGGTAATACACACCTGCAGTCCCAGCTACTTGGGAGGCTGAGGCAGGGGGAATTGCTTGATCCCAGGAAGTCAAGGCTTTAGTGAGCTATGATCCCACCACTGCACTCCAGCTTGGGTGATAGAGTGAGACCTTCTCTCAACAACCAAGCAAAACTATACATGCACAGGCAGTATCTATATTATTTTGGAAATGTATCACATCAGTATTTAATGTATGAATAGCAAGGCAGACACAGTACATTGTAAAGAGATATGTCACATAGAAAATGAGAGTTAGTAAGCATTTAAGGGCGAATGATCCCATATTTTTCCTTTTTAGGAGGTGTACCCAACCATCTCGTTTACCTCTGATATAGTTTATTTGGGGGACATAGACAGATACAGCTACTCCCTAAGTATATACTTAAGAAATCTGGCTAGGCGTGCTGGCTCATACCTGTAATCCCACCACTTGAGAGGCCGGAGCAGGCAGATCATAAGTTCAGGAGATTGAGACAACCCTTGCAAACCCGGTAAAGCCCATCTCTACTAAAATACAAAAAATTAGCGGGGCATGGTGGCAGCCTCTGTAGTCCCAGCTACTCAGGAGGCTGAGGCAGTAGAATTGCTTGAACCCAGAAGTTGGAGATTGCAGTGAGCCAAGATTGTGCCATTGCACTCCAGCCTGGTGACAGAACAAGACTCCATCTAGAAAAGGAAAAAAGAAAAGAAATCTGCAGTTTAATCTTGGATTCAGGAGATGTAAGTATATGTTGCTTTTCATGAGGGCCAACCGTGAGTAAGAGAGAAGTACTTCGTGTCCTCCTGGGCTTTCCTGAGTAGCAGGGGAGATGGACTAGGATGATGGGTGAGTGCACTATTCTATGCTGTGCTTTGGTGATGAGAGAGGCTGCTGAGAGTCCAGACAGGGAGACTGACACCGTGAGAAGATGAGAAGGCTTCTAGAAAGAAGGAACCTTTCAGCTGAGAGAGAGAGATAAGTAAGAATTTCCCAGGAAGGGGAAAGAGGCATGTCCTGCAGACAAAAGGGGTTGCATGTGCAAAGGTCACTGGAATGAAAGCGGGATGAGAGGCTCAGAGACCCACTGGAAAAGGAATCTTCAGATGCTCAGAAACAGCTTCCCTCTTCTAAACATGAGTTTTCTGCACAAGCAACTAGAGGACTGGGTTTTTCATATAAGATGAAAAATCTGTACATTCATCCAGCCAGGGTGCTTTGCTTAAGCCTTTATTTAAGCTATAAAATGGTAGGCTGGGCACAGTGGCTCACACCTGTAATCCCAGCACTTCAGGGAGTTAAGGCGGGAAGGTCATGAGGTGCAGACACAGAGACCATCCTGGCCAACATGGTGAAACCCCGTCTCTACTAAAAATACAACAGTCAGCTGGGCGTGGTGCCACATCTCTGTAGTCCCAGCTACTCAGGAGGCTGAGGCAGGAGAATCACTCGAACCCAGGAGACGGAGGTTGCAATGAGCCGAGATTGTGTCACTGCACTCCAGCCTGGCAACAGAGCGAGACTCGTCTCAAAAAAAAATAAAAGATAAAACGTTGCATTTGCATGAATGCAAAAAAGGAAGCTATCACCTAAAAATACCAAAGACAGGAAAAAAGAACAATAGGATTCAGAAGGATCAGAACGTATGATTTACAAAAATATTTTAAAGTAAGCAAACCATGCCAGTCTGGCAATCCTCTTAAGAGTCCCATCATCTGCCCTACTAATTGTCCCTGCTCATGACAGGGCACAGGCCACAGATTTCTTCTCTTTAGTAGCACTGAAGGTAAACTCTGGAAGGTGTGTCTCTGACTCCTCTCTCTTGCCCCTTTTCTTGCAGTCTGGATTTTTTAAGCAGTTACACATCAGCATCAAACCCAGCCCTGTGCTCAGCAAGCCATGCTCAAAATGTGCTTCTTTTGTTCTGCTTTTTAAGGCAGAGGTAAAAATATTCATCATCTTTTTAAAAACTGCAAATTGCTGTTTTCTTGAGTTAGAATTCTGACCATGAGGCAGGTCAGAAGAAACAACCTTAGCACCTGCTCTCAATGTTGCCTGGCACCTTGTGCTTCTTAGCAAAGGTTCCTCACTCATGGTAAGGACCCGGTGAGGTCTCTGGCTCCATAGCAACACCCAGGTGAGAATTTTGATAACCCGATGACCCAGGGAGACCATGCCACTCTCCTGTCTGTCTCGGTGGGAGGTAGAATTGTCCAAAGGAACGGGTAGGAAAGTCTGGCTTTTCGAGGACTGTTTCTGGAAGCAAGTTCTTTTTGGACCCAACTTTGTCAAATCTCAATTAATCAGCTCTAAACTTGAGGAGTACAGAGTAGCTGACAAGAAAAGAGGGAAGTTTAGCAGAATATAATAACAATGAGAATAATCATAAAAAAAGATCAATGTATTCTCTTCACTTAAAAAGTGAGACCTTGATGAGAACAGATGAGGCCATTTCGTTTTTAGTATGTGCCGCTTCCTTGGTATTCAAAATCTATTATTTCTCTCTCTACCTTGTTCTCTCCTAAATGTACATAATGCTGATTTCAGGGCAGTAGGTTTGCCTTGGGTTCAGACAGGAAGCATGAGAGCAAGATTCTTGAGGATAATGTTGGACAGGTGGGTGAGTGTTCAGTGTCACCTGGCTGTGTTCTCCCCGGTGCTGTGGTAACAGTGACTGCTAGGTCCCATGGGCAGAAGTGATGCCCGCTCGCCCTCCAGCTGTACACTGGGTCTACGGATTTTCTCTTCTTGCCTAGTGAGAGGCTGTAAATCCACAGTCCTAGTTTCTGTAGTTCCTTTTGGAACATGTGGCATGGCTTTGGTTGCTAGGAAGTCAGGTGTATCAGGGAGGAAGAGAATGTTGCCAAGAAGCCTGGGACGTGTGATTTTGGCTTTACCTCTACATGTAAGCTTCAAGTAACCAAGTCAGATATCCTTCTGAAAAATCTATAGAAAGCAGCAATATAAAATTCTACTTACTACAAGAATGAAAATCTTCGCTTTTTGAGACAAGGGAGACAGGGTCTCACCCAGGCTGGAGTACACGGGTGCGATCACAGCTCACTGCAGCCTCAGCCTCCTGGGCTCAGGCAATGAATGCTCCCACCTCAGCCTCCCAAATAGCTAAGACAACAGGTGCAGGCCATCACAACCCGCTACGTTTTTTAGTTTTTGTTTTAGATTTTGAGACAGGGTCTTGCTCTGTCACCCAGGCTGGAGTGCAGGGGTGTGATCATGGCTCACTGCCGCTTCAATCTCCTGGGCTCAAGCTGAGATCAAAGGGGCATGCCATTACACCAAGCTAAATTTTTTTGGGTAGAGATGAGGTTTTGCCATGTTCCTCCTGCCTTGGACTCTCAAAGTGCTTGAATTACAGGTGTGAGCCACCATCTCTGGCCCAAAACCTTCTTTTGGTGCTTTCGATCACACACAGTGAAATGAGAGGTCATGGAAATTAAATCGCTGGGCCATACATTTTAAGCTCTGTATTCTGGAGTCCGTTCTGGGATTCTCATCCAGTGGATACAAAGCCAGTCTCGGGAATCTGAACGTTTAATGTGCTCCCAAGTTCCTTCTGATGTGTAGCTAAGTTTGAGATACACTGGCCAAGAGTGAGAACTGTCAAATAGAGCAAAATCCCCCTAAATTCTGTCTTTTTTCCCTTTGAAGAACAATCATTTCCAAGCTATTTAGTTAGCAAGCATATTTGCAAATCCAACGTGGGCATCCTGAAAGACTAGGCAAGACCCTTCTGTTATGGAGCAAATGATCTTAATCAGGTGATTCAGCCTTATCCCACTCTCAGATCCTCACTATGGGACAGATTATGGAAGGTAATTGGGTTCAATCCGCCAAAGAAAAGCAAAGTATTTTTTCTTGATACAGTTCACCCTTGAACAACATGGGTTTGAACTGTGCAGGTCCACTTATATGTGAATTGCTTTTCAACCAAAGGCAGTATTCCCAGGATGTGCGACCCGTATACACAGAGAACCGATTTTCCTCTATACTCACGTTCCACGGGATGACTATAGGACCTGGATGTGCGAGGATTTGGGTATCTGGGGCGCAGGGGCTTGTAACTAATCTGTAGTGGATACTGACTTACAGCTGTCTATAGAATCCCAGCAATGATCATGGACCCTCAGCTGAATACATCCACATCTCCGTCCTCTGTTGCTGATGAGCCTGTTCTGACTGTTGAAACTTTCTCTTAGCCAGCCCCATAGACAATACCTCTTCAGCCTTAAATTTGGAGGCCATTATAGAGATCTAATGTAGGATTAGGAGTTACACCAGGTGATTGTAACTACCATGCCTTTGTAATTGTGCATTTCTTTGGTAAAACTGAGTATTATCATGTCCCGACTAAGCCTGGAGCCAACAAGGGTTATTTGATGCTAAGAGGAGCCCCAAAATACTCCATTATTGCACCCACTTTGCAGTGAGAAATCAGAAAGAGCCGGGCAAATTTACATGGAAATTGTTTGAAAGGTTGGTGTATATTTCTGAACAAGATGTACAAACATTTTTAGGGGCTTTCAAAATATGTCATTTTCTGTACTCTTAGGAACAATGTCAGTGAAGACAAAATAGGGGTTTTGACAATATGCAGTTTAGTGGGGTGGTTTTTTGAGGCTGAAGTATCAAGAGCCAAATGTACCCGTGGTGAATTCAAGGGTGTATTTGTTACCTATCAGTAAAAGAGGAAGTGGCCAGAATGTTATTACAAGTTACATTAACGAAGTTTCTTTGCTACCTGTTGATGTGAAAAATAAATGCTGACCTAATGCTAGAACTTTTCAATGTGGGTACACCTTTCCCTTTCTGGTTAACCACGTAATATGGAAGGTTGTCAGACCCAAAGCATGTATGCTGTTTGAAGAGCGGGAAAGTCTGAACACAAACATTGAATTGTTTGTATTTTGAATCAACGGAAGTTTATTTCTATTCATTTCATGTGACTTTTTTGTTTATTAGACCAGAGAGCTTAAGATTTGTTACCAAAAACAGGTCTTTCCTTTTTTTAGGCTTTTAACTTTTGTTTTTGAGAAGTAAAGGCTGTAGAATTGACAAATTTGAATAACCCTAAAACTGCATGAAGAAGAGACGTTCTTTAAACCACACAGCATGACTCTGTAGGCAATGTTAGAGGGTTTTGGCATTCATTGTTGAATTTCGTGCACACGTTTTTATTTCATTTTATTTTTAATTTGCATGTCAGAAAAGTGGTTCCCTTTTCTTTTCCTCGTTATTTCATTTTATTCTCTGTGAAGATACTGTACATTTATTTTGATCTCATTTTCTTTTTGGTAGATTTATTTTCTTCCGTAGTGACATTTAGAAAGGTATTTTTGGTATCCTTCTTTGAATTCTTCAGGGGTTACAGCTAACTGGGGACAGAAAAAAAATCTTGTTCACATTTGTCGCTTAATTATTGCACATCTCTGGACTCTTATAATTTCTCTAATTTGCATGTTACAGAACTGAAGCCAGGACAAGAAATAGAAATTAAAGCGAGAGAACGTTTCCAAGTGGTCGTTGACTGAAATAATAATCTGCATGTTGTTTTCCCTTCTCCCTCCTGCATGCAGGGATTTGGTTTCGTAACTTTCGAAAATAGTGCCGATGCCGACAGGGCGAGGGAGAAATTACACGGCACCGTGGTAGAGGGCCGTAAAATCGAGGTGCATGTTCAAAATATTTTCCTTTTCCTCTTTTTTATAAATGTCTGCTTCACGCTCATTCGTTGTTCCAGATGCATCACTGGCGTCTTGTATGTGACCCTATTTCCCCCTCATCGTTTATATATATATATATTTATATATAAAAAGGAAAACTGGCCTTACTTTTTTTTTTTTAAATTTTGTTATGTTATCTTATTACTGCTGAAAGGTGGATGGCAAACTTGAGACAAAAGAAAGGTTAATTGTAAAGGGTTTTGTTTTTCCTTTGTGTTAATTTTCATGTTTTATAATCAATGGGTGCAGTAGGTTCCAAAAAGAATAGACAGGGTTGCAATCCAAACAAAATACAGAACAGTTTCTTTTTCTTTTTCTTTCCACTTCAGGGTTGAAGAGGGATCCACAGTGGTTTGCAAATTAAACCAAAATGGGAAAACAAAAAGATTTTAAAAAAAAAATGAGAGGTTTTTACTAAATGTCTCATTTTTTTTTTTTTTAAGAAGCCAGTTTGAATTTCTGTATTCTTTTGATAATAAAGTGAATAATCAAACAAACAGGATTTTCCTGTTCAGTATCTGGCCCCTGTTCATGGAAAGCAGAAATGCCAAAATGCTGACACTCGGAGTCTGCTATTTGTACCACTGGGATCTCCTGCAACATAGCCACAGGGTCATATTTGTTAAAACTTTTTTTTTTTTTTTTTAATACCAGTTAAAAATGCTTTAGTCTTTGGAGTAAGATGTTGCATATTTTGCCTTTCATTTTCCCCTTCGACGATAACGCTTAGGCCCCTCACCAAACTCTCAGTAACCATGGTAACTGTATACAAACCCATGCTGGCGATGGCGGTGAATGGTAAGTGGTGAAGTCCATCTGCCGTTTCACGTACTTAGTGCTGATATATCTATATACATATATATATACCACGTGAATTTTTTTGACTTGTATTAAGTTTTCTTGATGCTCTCTTTTTTTGGGTATTGGTACGCCTGTAATTGAGTGTACGTTCTAAGCTAGCCTGGGAGGCACTGACTGGATTGAGTTATGACCGGTGCACATCTTACTCAGATTGTTAATTCCATATTGTGTTAAACAATGCACCCTTCTCTTTTATCCTTTTGTTAGCTGTGACTTTAAAGCTTGAATGGTTTCGTTAATTCTTGCGATGTCAAAGGCTCTTGTTCCCAGTGTTGAATGCTAGATGTTGCTTTCCCGATGGTTCTTTCCTCCTGAAGTGTTGCACACGGCTAAGACGTGTTTGTCCCTTTTTTTTGACATTTACGTTCCCTTGTACTTTGTCTCCTCCCTCTTCTCCACTGCATGCTCCTTCATATGAACTTTATTTTATGTTTAAAAAATATTTATCGTTTCTATGTTACCATGGAGTACACGCATGCTTTTTTAAATCTTCAATTATGCAGTATCTTTTAATTTGCTTTTACTGTCTCTTTATTAAACTCTTAATGATATGACATTGCTTTATTGAAATGATTTGTAAGTTAAACGGTTATGAAGTAAATGTAATTTTAAAATGTATGATTTTGTTATGCACCTACTGCCTTTTATAAATTAAAATGCATTTTCGTTTTTAGTTTTCTTTTTTTAATAAGTAAATCACGGTCATAATGCATGCAACTAATTAAATTGGGAGCTGGCCATGGAATATGCGCTTATTTGAGTTTTCTATGTACATAGGTAAATAATGCCACAGCACGTGTAATGACAAATAAAAAGACCGTCAACCCTTACACAAATGGTAAGTAGAGATCGATCGGCCTTTTGCAAGAAATTCTCTCTACCTCTGAATCTTTTAATTTAATCAGATTCTATGACAACATTGTTTGCCTGGGCATTGACACTGTGTTTTCACTACTGACCGGCTACAGTGAACCGCCTACATCAGTAAGAAAGATCATTTTCACAGCAAAGGCAAATGGACTGTTGAGGTTAAGTGTGATGTCCTCCTTCTTTTTCTTAATTCTTCTTTTGGACTGAGATGCAGTAGTTACTTGGAAATTAATTTTGTAATCTGATTGGTTATTATCGTAAGTTGAGGGGAGAATTTGAGGTTTAGTTTTTTGGGTTTTTTTTGCTTTTCAATACCATCTCCTTGTTGATGATGATTAATCATTCCTGGAAGTATAGTCACAGTTTATTCTGGCTTTCAGTCTTCTCCAGGGAGATTAGCCATTTGAAGTGCTTTGGAGGACACCTCATGTCTGAGTTCCACAGGGTGAGCAGAATGTGTGATCGGGTGTTTCATTCCTCTCTGGGCTGCTGGACGTTGTGATTTTGGGCTAGTTGTGAATTTTGCTGTGTATTGCAGACCCCATCAGGACAATACGGTTCTGTTTTTAATCAGTCATACTTCTCAAACCTTCACATGAGTTATTACAAATGAAGCAATGCAGTAAGTTGAAGTATATGCACGTGGTAGATTATACCCATTAAGATGAGCAGAATAAAGACCATTAAGGATCTTGTAATGAAAAATTGAAAAACCTACTTACAGCATAACTTCAGGTAAATTATAGTAGCCAAAACGCTAATAATGGTTGCGCTCAGTTGTGAGACTGGCAGTGTTTTGTTTTTGACTTATAGGTTTATAAAGGTGATATAACTTTGTTACGTCAAAAGGAGATATATGGAATTTTACACTGCTGTATTTCCATGTGCAATTAAAGCTTTCGATTTTTTTAAAGTAAAAAAAAAATTACAGATATATCAAAAATATATTTAACATAACCCCATTGCCACCCTGGTTTCCTACCTCCCTCTCAGAGGAAGGCACTTTTACAGATTGTTTATAGTTCTATTTTGCATATTCGTGCCTACACATGTAGTAGGTGTTCATTTATAGTATAGTTTTCACAGTATTGTATACATTTTTATGTGAATATCATGATGCACCTGCCATTTAAATTGGCTTTTTATAGAATTCTTTCCATGTTTATATATACAGATTAGACTGTTTCAGTGGTTACATAATATCACACAAAACAGATAAATTGATTCAATCAGAACTAAATACTGATTGTTATATAATTGTTTTCATTTCCCTGGGATAAGCAAGAATGATCAATTAGTGATTTCTTCTCCTGTTTCCTTTGCCAGTGACTACCCATTCAACAGTCAGTTTGTTCTCAATTTTAAAAGGGGCATCATTCAACTCTCTCTATGATAGGGCTCTACATTGTAAAGACCAGAAGAATTATTCTGCTGACTGTTTTGCTCAGCTTTATCAAGTAAGACATGCCCTTAAATGGTATAGACTATTTTCATAGCAGACTTTAAATGCTAAAACTGAAGCTAACCTCTGATTTATGTGTCAGGAAGCCTTTCTGCTTGGCTAGAAGTAACAGTTCTGAAACTCGCCAGATTTATCAACCTGATGATCGGGCATGCTGTTTAATTACGAACGTGCACAGCTGCCCAGGCACACGTGTGCTTGCACGCTTATGCATAGCTTCTCATGTGTGTCGAGTCAGAAACTGGAGCAAGAAAAGTCCAGTATTATTCCATAAGCCATCTGCGTGTATATTTAAAGAAAGAGTTACAGATCAATTTTATGCCCAGGGACTGACAACTAGACCTGTAGGGTTTTTTAAAACACCATTGAAAGCCAATTTACAAATAACTAGCCTTTCTGGAACATGAGGTATGCATTATGTGAAGCATTTTAAGTGCACTAGACACACATGAAGCAATTACTACAGCTTTTTCTTTTGTGAGACGGTGTCTCACGTCATCACCCAGGCCGAAGTGCAGTGGCACAGCTTATTATAAAGTAACAGAATCTTGTGGCCATGCCTGTGTGTATCAGGAATCACTGTCCCTTTGTCTTCTTGTACAAGTGCACTCAAATGGCAGCTAACTACAGTAACAACAAATTAAATGTGCAACCTCATGTTCCTGCTGCATGTTGCCATGCATAGCCCGTGTCCGAGTCCAGGTAGCGGTGCACTCAGTTTCCGGGAACAAGTCATGTGGGTCTCTCATCTCTGTATGTACAAAAAGGTACTCAAAATTGTGCCTATCACACATACTGAGTATGGAACCTAAGGGGCAGATGGATAGTCAGTCATGGGAGAATTATATATATATAAATATGTGTGTATGTATGTGTATGTATGTACACACACATATATATATATTGTATTGCACTTTAGGTCCTTGGGTACATGTAAAGAACATGCAGGATTGCTGGATAGGTATATACATGGCACTGTGGTTTGCTGCCTTCCTCCCCATCACCTATATCTGGCATTTCTCCCCATGTTCTCTCTCCCCAACTCCCTGCTGTCCGTCCCCTAGTTGCCCCCCACAGACCCTAGTGTGTGATGCTCCCCTCCCTGTGTATATGGTTCTCATTGTTCAACACCCACCTATGAGTAAGGACATGTGGTATTTAGCTTTCTGTTCTTGTCAGTTTGCTGACAATGATAGCTCATCCCTGTCCCTACAAAGGACACGAACTCGTCGTTTTTGATGACTGCATAGTATTCCGTGGTGTATATGTGCCACATTTTCCCTGTTGAGTCTCATCGGTGGGCATTTAGGTGGGTTCCAAGTCTTTGCTATTGTAAACAGTGCGGCAATGAACGTTAGTGTGTATGTGTCCTTATAGTAGAACGATTTATAATCCTTTGTATATATACTCAGTCATTGAAGTTTAAGGTGGTTTTTTCCAGTTCTGTGAAGAACACCATTGGTAGATTGAGAGGGATAGTGTTGAATCTATAAATTAATTATTATTGATCCTTCCTAACCATGAGCATGGAATGTTTCTCCATCTGTGTGTGTCCTCTCTGATTTCGGTGAGCAGTGGTTTGTAGTTCTCCTTGAAGAGGTCCTTTACATCCTTTGCTAGTTGTATTCCTAGGTATTTTGTTCTCTTTGTAGCAACTGTGAATGGCAGTTTGTTCTTGATTTGGCTCTCTAAGTCTGTTATTGGTGTATAAGAATGCTTGTGGGAGATCCAACATGGCCAATTAGACACAACTCCAGTACACAACACCCAGCAACAGAGACACACAAATCCAGAGATCTCCTAGCTCCAACTGAGGTACCAGCTGCATTTCATCGGTCAGGTCCGATGGTGAGCAAAGCCCACTCAAGGCAGACTGAGGCGGGGAGGGGTGCTGCTTCACCCAGAAGGTGCATCTGACTGGCAAATCAGAGGCTCCCCTTGGGCACTCTGGTCCTGATACAGCCCTTCCCCCAAAGCCTCAGCAATACACAGAACAGGGGATCTTTGCCAGTCAAGTGCCAAGAATTACAAGTGCAGAGTTGAATAAGAGCCCGCGGACTGAGCTATCGCCCCCCACTCCCTCTGCCCAGGGAGAGAGGGAGCTATAATTGGAAGCAGCTGGGCAGGCCCCGACCCCAGGACCAGAGGGAGGAAGCTAAAATGGGGAGACAGACAGCTGGCTGCAGCTGGGTGGGTCCCTATCCTCACCCACAAACCCCAGAGGGCTGAAGCTCTGACTCTAGCAGGTTGCACAGCCAGTACCATAGTCTGAGATAAACCCTGAATGATCCAGCCCACTGGAGGAAGGGCACAACCCATAACGAGAGGGTTGGGACTGCACTACAAGTTTTAATAAAAAACACAGGAAGCCTATGTAGCAATGAGATGGCATTCTTGATGACCCAGCAGTGCCTATAGGTCAGCGGAAGAGGCGGGCCTAATCTTCCAGTATAAACAAAAAAGACATGGGAAGCTTCCATAGTAACCTGAAGGAGTCCCTAGAAACCCAGTGGCACCTCCACAGGCCGACAAGTGACCTCATCAAGCAGCTCCCTGACAACACAGCCAGGTAAACCCACAAAGATGGGAAAAAACCAGCCTAAAAAAGATAAAACCATCAAAGACCCACCTCTTCTCCTTCAAGGGATCCCAACTCCTCAACAACACAGGATCACATCATAACTGAGAAGGACTGCAACAAATTGACAAACAGGCTTCTGAAGGTGGATTAATAAACTTTTCTGAGCTAAAGGAACCAAATCCTTGAAAAAAGGTTAGATGAAATGCTAACTAGAATAACCAGCTTAGAGAAGAACATAAACAACTTTGTGGAGTTGAAAAACGCAGCAGGGGAACTGCTGTGAGGCAAACACAAGTTTTAATAGCCAAATAGATCAAGCAGAAGAAGGATGGAATATCAACTCAATGAAGTAAGAGAAAAAAGAGTGAAAAGAAATGAACAAAGCCTCCAAGAAATAGGGGATTACATGAAAAGACCTAACCTATGCTTGATCAGTGTACCCAAAGATGCTGAAGAGAATGAATCCAAGCTGGTAAACACGCTCCAAGATATTAACCAGGAGAACTTTCTAAGCCTAGCAAGGCAGTCCAAATTTCAAATTCAAGAAATACAGACAGCTCCACAAAGATATTCCTCAAGAAGAGCAACCCCAAGGCACATAATCGTCAGATTCACCAGGGTTGAAATGAAGGGAAAAATATGAAGAGCAGCCAGAGAAATAGGTCAGGTCACCCACAGAGGGAAGCCAATCAGACTCACAGTGGATCTCTCAGCAGAAACTCCACAAACCAGAAGAGTGTGGGGGCCAATATTCAACATCCTTAAAAGAACTTTCAACCCAGACTCTCATATCCAGCCAAACTAAGCTTCATAAGTGAAGGCGAAATAATAGAATCCTTTACGGACAAGAAATTACTCAGATTTTGTTACCACCAGACCTGCCCTACAGGAGCTCCTGAAAGAAACACTAACCACAGAAAGGAAC